GAGCGAGAGTTTCTCAACTACCCAACTCCTGATCCGATAAGTGAACCTAAGAAAAGGTTTAGTGGCGCAGCCAGGAAACGATGGAGTATTTTCCTCAAAAACGGGGTACCTTATAAAACCGCCTTGCACCAAACTCTTGAGCGATGTACGCAAAATCTGTCTCAGGTGGATGAACAAACCCCCATGAGCAGGTTAGCAAACATTTGCGTTTCACCAAAACCAGAGGCGAAATGGCCCTGCACGGATGAATCTAAGGCATCGTCAGGTGGACCTACGTGCAGAAACCCTCATATGGGAAGGTTCTCGCGGGTATAAAGGTTGGTATCTTGCACCTTGACTATCCGACTACCTCATTAACGATGGAACAGCAGAGCATATACTTTGTGCCTGCCCGCTGGGGACCGAATCAGGTTTTTAGAGTTCAGCAGAGCCGTACTCTTTCCATCTGACCTGAAAGACTACTCACCATACAAACTAATCGGCTTCGTTAAGAAGCTGGGTTCATTTGGTCGAGTGTGAATAGGTGTGAGCCACAATAAACTTTCGCAGGTTAAGGTGAAGGGTCCAATAGACCCACTCACTTCAGACCTAACTCAACCTAACATATACAAGCTGCCTAATTGATTCGAATGGTACCATCCTTTCCAGTTTTGATTCCTGATCCTAGGAAATAGAAAGCAGGTTTCACTGTCAGTTTGAAGTCATTATGCGAAATTCATCAACGTAGAATTGCTTTACTTTGCTGAAAATCTTGGTGCTTGCACGAGTACATGTACACTTTTTTGAAGGCGGCTCACTCGATTTTTACCATCCTCATATCCTTCAGATTGCCTCATATTGACCTCTTCGTCTAACACGCCATAGTGGAATACAGTGGAAATATAAAATTTGGTAGACACTTTCACACTAGCTTTGAAAAGCCTATATCATGCCACCTATTGCTGCAGGTCTGAAGGTTCCATCTTAGTTTTTACCCTTTCTTTGTCAGAAACTCTCAGTAACCAGTCTGTCCTTGAATACTACCATCTACATTCAGTTTCTTTTTATATACTCATTGACATGGAGTTACTTTTCTATTAGGTGGCAGTTTTACTATAACCCAAGTTCAATTTTCATTGAGAGATTCAATTTCATTATTTATTGCTCGAATCCAATAATCTTCCTTAGGTCTCGAGATGACTTATTTCTAAGTGAGTGGGTCTTGAATGGCTTTCAGATTCCTTGTCAATCTCTCAGCTGCCTTTTGATTACAATATCCTCATCTTCTAGGAATGCACCTTCTAGTTCTATCATTCGTAAGCCGGAGATATCAGGTGTATCCTCAGCATCTGAGTCTTCTGGCGTGAGTTCAGATTGAAACACATCTGTCAAATTTTCATCAGTTGAAGGTATTATCTTTGTAGAAAATCATCATTTTCTTATCCAATGAATATTTCTTTTACACCCTTCCACTGCATTTCGTTTCGACATCTTTTTGGTTTATGTGCTGTAACTGCCTATTTCTTTCAGATACCTCAAATTTTACTTCTTTTCAAAGCTCTTGCAGTTTCAACTACTGTTTGATTCTCAAGTTCTAAGCAACCATTCTGCTGAGGAGTCGGGTATGATGATTCTTTGTCCAATTCCATAGTTAGTGAGAACTTTGGATATTTCTTCATTAGAAAATTATCCACCTCTATAAGACAAGAATTCCTGAACATCATAGCACATAGTTCCAATCTTCGCGGGCAAAATCTTCAGCTTTTCTACAACCTTATATGTTTTTCTTTGACGAAAAAGAAGAAGAATTACCGATATACACTGAAAACATCTTTGAAGGGGACATAATATCGGTTAACTGACTTGGATGGACAAAATGGTCTACATACATCAGCATGTATTCGTTATAAAGGAACTTCAGCTCCGTATGTCATACCAAACTTGATTATATAAGCTTTTTCATTAACGCAGCTTTCGGGAACTTTACTGTCCGAATTGACACGTATACCAATATCACGTGTTTGAGTAGGAATTTCACATGCCTCTCATTTTGGTGACAAATATCTTTGAAGAGTATGAATTTTTCTCGAAAATTATCATAGCCTGATGTGTGTTTTTCTCGTATTTCATATTTTTGCTTTTGACAGTATTTTTACTGGTGCTTTTACGAATCATCACTGCTGGAAGCGCAACGTGATTGGCAGACTATAGGAAAACAAACTGCCTGATAATTGAAATTTTTTCGACGGGATCTACAAGACCAACACCGACCACAGTGCACCGAAGAGGACTGAACATTCTCCTACGGAACATAGGATTTCATAGAAAATTCATTAATAATCCGGCGGAAACCATCAGCTCTTTGCCTTAAAAACGGAAAGAAAAATTTTCTTGGAGCTTTTGAACCATGCAAACAAATTTAATGTAACGAACCAATTTCGATTCATTCAGATTTTTTAAAAACATTCACTGTCACAACAGACCCGATTTAATTTGCGAAAGGGTCAATGAATCAATTATATATCTATGAATGAGTTGTTGATTTCAAAGATCAAAATATCCATTATGCATTTCTGTAAGAACAGTAAGTCTTTACTAACGAGAGAATAATTTTTCTTATACACTTTCCATTACTGATGCCCATTATATTTTAAACAAACTTCCTTTATCCCATTCCGATTCAGAATTAAATCGCTCCACCTCAAAAACCTTTCCTCATCTTGGATAAGAGATCAAAATATTAGGTATAACAATACCAAGAAAAACTTTGTACAGAAATGCTACAGACAAAATCACCTGCAAACCGAAGAATACTGCATCGGCATGGTCATTCTGAAGATCAAAGCCACCGATTGCAATGCAGTGAATGTCCAATCAGAAGAGCCCCTGGTAAATCAAGTTACACCTTGAAGCATTCTATTTTCTACACCAAGCAATGTGCTTTTAACTGAAAACTGCTCCGTGGAAATACACCATGAAATTGAACCTAGTATTATTACAATCCCAGATGAATGTTTTTTTCTCTTTGCCGATGAAAAATATACCCATTTAATGATACACTTTCATCATTGAACATTTCTCACCTATTCACCAGACCAAGATGAACCTGGAGGAGATCCAACACCTCACAGTAAAAAGAAATACGCAACATGAAGCCTTCCTGCCAAGCGAAACCAAGGCAGTTCATACAATTCTAATATGGATTATCGTGTTCTTTTGTGGCAATCTGTGCAACCACATATTTTGGTGTAACCTTTTACTATAAATCCGGTTACTCATACTCCTTAATTACGTTCCTGCGATAAAGGAGGAACCAGACTCCAGCAGATAACTTCGAGCTGACTAGCCAACTATAGGCTTTTCTTTCATGCGGGAAGTTTTCCTCGAATATTATCTCTAACAATGAATGAATTATTGCATTGCATAATTTGCTGCTTTGATGCTTTCCCAGACGAAAACCTCGTAAGCATTGTAACCGGGAAATATATTTGATGACCGTGAAATTAAATACAGAATTATTATAGCCTTCTACAATGTTATAATTATTTTATGACATTTTTGGATTGGATTGTTGTAACCTGAAATTCATCTTGTGACCAGCTTTTGAATTGAATAAAACACATAAAAAGGTACGATTGAGTTTTATTTGTGTTGAGGTCAATTAGTCAGAGTCGAAAGAAGTGTTTTTCAATCATTACTGGTGCTTCTACGAATCACCACTGCTGGAATCACAAGGTAATTCGACTCAGTCGGCCAAATTACATTGTGTTCTCTTCCTGCAGTCTCAATTGATCTTCTACACTATTTTGCTTTACTAACTTTATTGTACGCGTTTTTCGCCCCTATAATTAATTAATTGCATATTGATGGGAGACGTTTCATTTATATATCAATTCAGAATTTCAAGATAGTGAATTATATTCGCAGTTGATAAATAGACTAGATTTCCAGAAACGTCAAGTGAAGTATGTCTATCTGGCTACCTATTTTGTCCAGTTAACACATACTCCTGGATTATCGTATATTCTGCAAATGCTGATGTAGTGGTGCTGTGTCACTATAAATACAAAATACAGGTGCCCAGAATCACGTCCGCCAAAGGGTGTCAAATATCCAGTTGACGCAACTGGATTGTGAAAACATTAATTTTAATTAATTAATTAACCCGTTATTTCGTTCAATGAAAGATGACATTCCGTATTTTTTCCATAAATTGAATTCCATTCAATGAAAGCAATCATCCAGAATATAAAATTTCTGCTAGATATTCAATTTCATGACAAGTTACTTTTTTGAAACCCTAACATTTTACAGTCCAAGGATTTCACTTTGGAAAATTCCAAACCTACGGAATCTTTTTTTCACAGTTTTGATGAAATTTTTTGAATTGATTCAACTTTTTCATTTATGAACCGACTGAAATGAATCAGATCAATTGAACTTCCATTATATGTACGGTTTTCTTTTCCCTCCATAGGGAAGGTGATGCAAAGATGAAGAGAATTGATGAAATCAAAGAACTTGGTAAGTTGTGAATTTGTTTCTATGAAATATACTGAAATGTAATCGACATCTTCATATGTCGATTTCTCACCAGCGTGTATTTTTCGTTCCAAGTCATCCATGAAAACTTCAGCCAACAGGCTACTCAGTAGGTTTCCCATCAAACCTATACAGGATGGATACATAAATGGTATGATGAATATATTTCAAGTACATTGAGAAATAAAAAAATTCAGATAAAGGGACTACGAAGATCAAAGCAACATTTTTGATACGGATCATTGATCATATGATTTGTGCACTGTTCGGAACGTTTGGTGTAGTAATAGATATGAATGAAGTTCAATGCAACGCCAAACCATTATTTTCAAAACCTCGACACGTGTTTGAATCACCAAGTGATCATCTTCAGGAGGAAGATTAAACTGCTGAATTCAATTGTTCAATTGTTCAAGTGTTAGGATAGAACTTCAGTAATATATGATTCTTTCATCGTTTTGAAGAAGATGGATATAAGGTATGATGAGAGCACTGATAACAGAATATTTATTTGACAAATTAAAACAAAAATTTCAATTGAAATTAGAATAGCTGATCATTGAAACCAATCAGTTTTGCTTACATCTGCAGCTTTCTCTCCAATTGCATATGCCGAGGCAGCAGCATGAGCCGTTAAAGGAAGTGGTATAACACTTGTATCTACCACACGTAATTGTTTCACACCATGAACTCTCAAATATGAATCTACCACAGTATCTCCATTATTTTCAGATCCCATCTTACAAGCACCAACATAATGATAAAGACTTGCGATAATAGTTCTCAGAGAACATTCCCAGTATTTGTCGCTATTGAACTGGTACTCCTCACAACCTGAAAATGGAACATGATTTGAAAACAAGTCATTCACAATCGTGTTATTCGTTTTATAATTTTTATACTGGCATACTACACTGTAAGGGGATTCTTTCGAATGTCACCGCATCGCAGTAAGTGTATGCCGCAATGGGGAATGTTCCTCAATTTGAGTTATTACAGCAAATGCAAGTTTGAACAAAATAATGTTGAGTTTAATTCATGAGTTTTTCAAATTCACTTCGAAAGGTATTCAAATTGATGTTTCAAATGTTGGGTTTTAATTTTAAAAGGGATTTGTTTATAATTCACATATTGGCAACAGCGCCTAGAATGTTAGATCGGAGTTCAGGTTACCTAGATATTCTACTTTAAACAAGGAAAATTATCTTTATAAATCAACAATTGAGGCAAAATATAAATTATAGTTAAGATACCACCTCCACAAGCCACATAAACAGTTGTTTTGTTATTCATTTATCTAGAGGAAGATAGGTTAGGTGCACAAAATGTCATATGCCATAGAATGTCTCGGAACTCGGAACATGAGTAAACAGAACAGAACGCTTCTGAAATATGTCATCTTTGTTTGTCTCATACAGGTAACAGATTCATTGTCTTTTATTAGCTATGACCGATGTTGCCAATTGGTGAAACAGAAACGAATCCCTTTAAATGTTGAATGCATTATTTCATTCCTCTTTTTCAAGTAATCAAATAAGAAAGGTTGAAATGGTAAGTTTAAAATGCGTTGTTTCAGAGCTATTTTATGAAAACTACTATTTTGCAAACAAAATATAAGAGTAGTATGTGTATGTCTCAAACAATTTTGGTTGGCCTTGAAACTTCATGTGAATTCTATATGGCCTAGAAACCCCAAACGATTCCAGACTGACCTAGAAATCTTAAACGATTTTTGGAGAATAAAATTAGCTTTCTGATAACTCGAAAACGGAGGTGTTGAGAATGTATATTTGGTCTCATTGGCTGGGTGAAGCCTTTATTGAAAGAAAAAAAGCCATAGTTGGAGTATTATCGGTTACCTCGGGGGTGGAGGTGAATAGGAGTGATATGGTTGGTATTTTTTGGGTGAGTGGAACGTCATAAGCAACCGCCATTATCAGAGGTGCAGCCATGGAGTATTATTGATTGACATATGAAACATTGAATAGGTCCAGAAAAACCTATAAAACTTGAGGTTTATGCCAGAAGCGGCTGGAATGAGTCTGTGTCAGTTATTGATAACGTATATCGTATTTTTCCTCAGTGAACAGGGTAGTCATCAATCTGGAAACTTTTGAATTTGGCAGATTTTGGTATTTGGCACACATCGGGAAGTCACCATGCGTATAGTGCAAGTACTCGAAATATTTCAAACACAATTCCCCGAAGTACCCGAGACGTGAACATTCAACGATGATGAATGTTCGACCCATTTGAAGCCGCCACATCGAAAATACTGCATCTTCGCCCATTCGTACAGATTACTGGCATCAAAATTCATCAAATATTCGGACATATTTCATCAGTTCGTACTTCCATTGTCTAATATAATATAAATTGATTCAAAATTTCTGAAAAAATATTAAAAAGAATGACCGACAATAATTTTATTTGAACAAATAACTGAAANCTACAGGCGAGTTGATATTTATCAACGAGACAACTCATATATTCAGAGAATGAGCTTGATCATTCTGTCCAGACTCCAGACGTATCGTCCTGGACATCACTTCCAGTGAACCGTTTCCATCTAATATGAATTGTTTCATTTTAGGCTTTCTTTTATCTGGATACCATTTCCTCGTCTTAGTATTGCTGTAAGACTAGATATCCTTGCATGAATGCTTGATACAGTAGTAGCAGTAGTTATTAGCTACCCGCTGTTGAGCCGATCACAATTGTTGTACCGACAGAACACTGCAGACCTGAGTTTGGAACTCTAAGATAATTCTTGTTCTTCAAGCCACCTCGAGGGAGACACACACAGATAAGCTTAGCTATTAAAATAGGAACAAAGAACTTATCAGTTCGGACTAGATTTATGATGCTTGATTAATTATGTCAACAAAGATTTATGTTTCTCAAACCTACCCAAAAAGGAAAAAATATTAGTGTAGGGTATATGCTTTTATGCATATGTAGATGAATTCATTCCATCAACCTACTGTAAGTTGGCGATATAGCTATATCTAAGGTAAGGTGTAACTTCAGAACGTCTCAAGTGTTGGAGAGGCATCCTCAATTCTTCTTTGGGGAGCCTGGGTTCATTAAGTCCTCTTAGAATTGAAACATTTGTGCTATAGATGTAATATAATTTATATCTTATGAAATTCTGGTATTGTTTACAATTAAATTAGTAATATCTTCTCACATTTGACATTTTGTGAACTCAGGAGCTCAAGGCTTCCTGCCAGTATTGTAGGGGGAGTCCTATGGAAACGGTTGGTAAAATTTATAAACTGACAGATAAATCGGGGGATTTGTTGACAAGTTTGAAACCAACTGAGAAAGGTGTAGATTTTAGGGAAAGGAATTATAAACATTTCAACTGGAATCGAGTTTGATTCAATTGCTTACCGTTTAAAGTAAATTTCCCGTTTTTGTTTTGTATGCTATATAAGCTCCAGGGTTGATAAAGCGGGTGGCGCTCTACCCTGCATCTTACCCACGCCCTTCTTCACTGTTTAAAAGCTGGCGGCCTACCCTAGGAGCTATGCTCTCTAATCCCAAGTAGTCACCCTCACGCCATATTGTGGAACAACGAGAAATCGTTTACAAATTGACTTAATTAGTCAATGAGAAATACAAGGCGTGACACATGTAGAGTAGTTATGAAAGACGGTCACCTGCAGTTTTGATATTTTTATCACTTTTATTGTTCCAGCTAAGTTCGAGACATCGCTTGAAATAATTTATTGGATGATACCAAGTAGAAAAATTGGTAACTTCTAAATATTGAAATAAGTTTTCAATATCTCAACCATAGGTGACTATGTATACTGAATAAAATCTGGGTTTGACCATTCATTTTTTCAACTTTCCATAGGTTCAAACCATTTTGAGGAATGTATGAAAAAGCGAATACTTTCTCAGACTAGAGGTAAATGATCTCAAACCTTCCACAGTGTTTCAGTTAATTGGATGGACGATTATTGCAATCAGTTTTGAACGATTTCAATGAACCTTTTTCCTGAAGGAAGTACGAAAAATCACTCACTAGCAGCGCTAGTAGTTCGGTAGGGACAAACACTGCCTAATCCTCATATGAACATATGGTAAAGTACAATTAAAAAAGGAAATTTTTAAAAGAAGGAGATGTTCCTGGAGCAAAACAAAAATTTGCAACTGTAAAGGATAACGATGTTATAACATTAAAACGTTGGCTTGCATGCCGTAATTTAAAAGTAACTGGAAAAAAAGTGAATTAATAGACAGGTTAGTAAACAGACTCTAGTAAAAGAGTAGCGGTAGATTCAAACTGTAATGAAAGAAAAAAATATTCGTTCAAATCCCGCTCGAGACGCCACTGGACTTAATAAATTGAATCACGTTCGGACTAAAATAGCTACTCAATGTTATGAATACCATTGCCAAATTACAACAAAATTAGGTGAAGAATATTTAAGATATTCACGAATACCTAACTTTTTTTTTATTTCAACACCCTGTGTCTTGAGAACGAAGGATTTGCGGACCCATGTTTATAAGAACATTTCGCCTTAATATTACCTAAAGAATCGTGTGTTGAATTCATGGTACATACTCAATTAACACCCTGTATTATTTTATTACGTTCTGGCGCTTGATGTGGATGTCACCACTCCTATCTTTTGGTTTTACGAGGAACAAGAAAAGTTGTTTGAGTGATATTAATTCGATAATCTCTTGACTGATGAAATTAGGAACACTGGTGTACAATAAATTTATTTAAAATACTTCCCCCACACCAGAATAAAAGTATTGACCCTCAATTCAGGATTCACTGACCAAGTTATCATAATCAAGAATTGACTATGTTTATTATTATGTGAGGTGATGGCTTCTTCTGATGTATAAGTACAGAAGCTTGATAATAAGTGTAAGCATAGATAGATTGGAGCGTGCATTTTTGAGGTTTTCCGTGCTTTACCTCAGCTGCACGTTTTTTTCTAGGACAGGACACAACCACTGCAGGAAAATCCTTGAAGTGTTCTGAGAGCGGTGCTGTGCGAAAACAGCGATTCACGTTGGATTTGAATCGCTGGAGATTGAGATCATTCGAAAAAACGTTCTCAGGAAGTTTATTCTACATGAACACAGTTCTTCAAACTAAAGAGTTTTTAAACAGTGGAGTTCGAGGTGTTCAATCAAGGTTTGCTGCTAGAAGTTCGTTTTATTGAAAAAGGAATACATGAATCCATGAATGATAGAATAATTTCCGTGACTTCAAATGTTGGTGGATCATTAGAGATTAAACAAACATCTAGCCAGGGTACCTGAATTTCGGAAATGGTCTTGAAGATATTTCACTCAGCATATATGTACTGCCAAACTTTGCGAGGCTTGGATTGTTCGGTAATTCCCTCAACACTGAAATAAGTTTGTGGTCAGAAGATCCCAATGGAGACCTTACAGTGACTGTATAAGATGTCTTTGATATTTGAGAATTTGAGCCATTCAATATTGTGGATATTGTCACCAAAAATGAAAATTTCGGCAATGGGATGAATGATTGGCAGAAAGTAACTGGAGTTTGCAAGTAAAAAGAATAGTGCCATTGTGTATCGCTTGGTGATCGATAAACGCAGCCCATCAATTCAGTGGTCTACTGTGATATTATTTTAAACCACATAACATCAACAACACATGACAAGAGAAATCGCTTCAGATGAATAGTATACTGTACAACAAGTGAGAAAAACGACATATTTCTCACGAGCTCTCAGAGAGCTCGCAAATCAAGCGATTGAGAAATATGTCATTCTCTCAAGCATTGTACTCTGCACTTTTTAGTGTTGTCAACAGGGAGAAGGTGT